TTGGACTATAAAGACTACATACAAAAACAAAATGAGTGTTCCATACTTAGCTTCAAATGGTAAAAAAAATCATCTTTAACACCTGTATCCAAAGCTCCCAGCTTGATATATTAACAAGAAAATGTTAATGAATCTCAGAAAGAAATTCTTTCTATGTTGAAATCAATCCAACAGACAATTGTTTTATTTCATGATGAGACTAAAAATAACGCAAATGAGATAAATGAACAATTTTCTAATCTAAATTTAAAATCCAGACAATGACTACAAAGAAGGAACTAGTAACCCAGAAAACAGGAAAATTAGAAGAAATGGATCTAAATATGGAGGACCTAAAGGAAGGAATTACAGACAGATACAGACAAATGAAAAATTAGAAGATGCAGTGGTAACACCAGAAATAAAAAAGATATCTTACTTGTCAAGATCTCAGAACACATTCGAGGATAAGGAAGAAGAACTGATCAAACTGATAGTAAAACTGTTAGGAGAAATGCTGAATATTGAAAAACAAGAAATGAAAAAAACTGAAGGAGAAAGATGGAGGCTGTTTAATTAATATAAATGGGTTGAACGTTCTTCCAAAAATACTTCAATTAAATTATTTTCCTCATTCCAAACAATCTATACAAAAACAGAGAAAGAATTACTTGATGATTCAAATGTACTGACTTGGAAAGTTATTTGGCAAAGGAAGAAAACTAGAGTAAGACTGAAGAAAATAGAGGTTTTGGCCTATTATATGGGATATTATACTATTAAACAGATGTTTGAATATGGTTAAGAAAATAGATAACTGTTAGACATAAAAGTATTATAATTAGAAGAATAGGATTTGTAACTTGAATATTATATTTTGTTATGAGATAGGAAATATGAAAATTTTAAAAGGGTTTGAATAAAGGAAGCTTTTGGTTACTCAGATATAATTTATTATGAGAAAATTATAAACGATAGAGATACTTTGAACATTGAGGGGAAATTAAAATTTTTAAAAAGTGAGAAAAACAGCATATTGATTGAACAAATGGATTTTAAATGCAAATGCAATTGAGATATGTTTTGGCTAAAAAAGATATTATAAACTGACACTATCGATATTATGTACAATACTAAAAAAATGTGATGAAGATGTCTATATTTAATTATATATATATTAACAATAACAAGAATTGTATTTGCCCAGTGTGGAAAAATGCATACCACTGGAAGAAGAGAGGACCAAGGAAGCACTGGATGGTGTAGTATTGGAACTAGATTGAGAAAGTTAATATGTACCACTGAATTACCAATGGACCCAGACAACACATTGTTTATTAAGTACTTATGATTGTAAAATTAGAAAATTAATAAAACATTTAAAAAAATATGAGTCAGTTGTACATTCAAATGTACGTCACATGACCATGGGGATGCTGCAATGGTCAGAAGTGTGAAAAATGGTCATAAGTCATTTTTCCCCTGCTGTTGTAACTTCGAACGGTCACTTAATGAACTGTTGTAAATCGAGGGCTATCTATGCTAATATAGCATACTATTCTTTATCAGAAAAATGCTAGCCAACCCCCTATGCATAAACAGACAATTAACAAGAAGATCAAATAACTTCCAAAAAAGCTTAGAGATAAATGGGATGCCAAAGTATATGTATTTACTATGTTTTCCCCAAAATAAGACCCCCTCCGAAAACAAGCCCTAGCCTGATTTTTTGGGGTGGGCCTAATATAAGCCCTACCCCAAAAATAAGCCCGGGGGGTGGGCGTAGCCAGCACAAGCGGCGGCAAGCACATGGGGACGAATGGTGTCCTGCGGCAGCAGTAGCCTGCCGGCCCTTTGGAAACAGCGCAGGTAAATACAGTGCAAAGGCGGGGGGAGGCAGGCAAATTGCTCCATTTCCAAGTGCCCCATTTCCAAGCAGACAAAGGTTCCAGTCTCCTTCTGGGTGAAAAGAGTTTGGATGCCTGTGGGATGCTGGGGCAGCTCCACCCCCTCCCTACCTTGCCTCACCTGTGGCGATGGCATGGCACGGTAGGCTATGTGACCTGCCATGAGCGACTGCAAGCGGTCACAGAAGTGGTCCAGCGGCCATGCAAGGTCCTGCTGGATGGGGCTGTTGGTGCCGCCACTGCAAGGCGAGGCAGGTATTGGAGGAAAAATAAGACATCCCCTGAAAGTAAGACCTACTGCCTCTTTTGGAGGCAAAAAAAATATATACGACTGCATCTTATTTTTGGTAATTGTCAAATTTTCTATCATTCACCCTTCTCTCTCTCCCTTCTACCTACTCCATCTTTCTATTTCAATAATACTAGTTAATAAGACAATGAAAATCTAACTTTCTTGATTGTGAGCACCTCTTATGAACTGGGCACCAGAAGAAGAAAGGGAACATGCTAACTACATCTCAGTAATATTTAATGCAATGTGGTTTAGAACATAGGTAGACAACCTTTGTAAGCTAGGTACTCATTTGAAATTTTGCAAGCTTGTGTTGGATGCACTTATACAATTGCTTTCTATTCACAAAGTGGTTTTTCCCAATGGGCAGAGCAATTGCAAAACATCAATTTACCTAAGAGCAAAGTAGCCCTCCAGGATGATCTCTGTTGTTCCACTGGGACCTTTGTAGTACCCAAAGGCATTGCTTATTCTAAATATATGGATACGAGAAGGGAGTGTGCTTCCTTTTTAGTTCTTTTTAAAAAATATTTTTAAGTTGATGGACCAGACAGTCTGCACCAGGGAGGTATCTAGAGACACTTTGTTGCTTCTGCCTGGTTTGGCAGGAATCAGTTAGGTGTAGTAAATATGCATATTCCCTATGTATTTCTCAGAATAAACATTGAGATTTCACGCTTTTTTGAGATCCTAGCACTGGGTGCAGGTAAATATTTCAGGAGCCAGTAATTTTATAATGCAAGGCATTTCATAAGAAATGAGAAATTTAAGATTGAATCTCATTTAAGAATTATTTCTCAGTAGGATAAATGCAACTGCCTGTCTCCTGAAATTATACCATTCACTCTGTTCTCTGTACCCTCTGCAATTATGAATGCTATAGAACTAGCTCTGGAAATAATTTTTCCTCTTTAGGGGAAGCATAGACAAGCAGGAATTTGTTCTGCACTGTTTGGTTCATTTTATAGATGGTTCATTTTATGGAAAACCACTTAAGACTCTGGTTTGCTGTTTGACTTTTCTGCTTATTTGTTGAATTTCAAATAGATAAGTAATTATACATTTACAGAGAAATGTATATGTGGGGCACCCTGTACTTTAAAAAAATTCCCAGCATATATTAAAATGTTTCAAACAATCATTTTCCTAGCCATTTCAAAATGTGTAGTCACACCAGATTTCAACTTTCTCAGGGATAATCTCAGCTGAAGAAGTCTAAATATTTTGTAAAAATATTTTTTAAATTATATGGCTGCCTATATTGTATAAGTGAGGCATAGATGGCTAACAAATACATGCATAATAGAAACACTGGATTAAAATTTGAACATACCATTCTTATATACTGGTAGTGAAATTTTATCTAACCCTATTAGACAAAAGACCCATTTATTTTAATGAGACTCCCGGATAACTGCAAGTCATTTGAGAGAGATTGGAACTTTTGATTATACATGCCTCTTCTGGACCTTATCACCATCTACATTCCTTTTGATGATACCTTTCTGAAATGACTTCACACGATATGAATTGGGGCAAATCCATGACTTCACAGAACATTTCAAACTTCCAGCACAATCCTGATTTGATCAATCACATTGCACACATTTCTCCCAATATGATTACTTTGACATTATTGTACTTATTGTGCTTAGAATATTTTGCTAAGAAGGTTTTTTATGTAATGAACCGAAGAGTACAAAGGGATTGTCTTTATGGTATTTAAGAAAGAAAGCAAGAAAATCAATGATTCCAATTTATTTATTGTAG